CTGAGCTAAATCCCCAGCCCCAGATTTGGTTTTTATTAATGATCTAATTAATACCTTGAATTGTAAGGTAAAAAGTTTCCTACTTCAAGTCAGGAGATGAGAATTTATCTCAGCTTGTCGATAATTTGCTGTGGACTTTGGCAAGTCACTTTACCTCAGTTTTTTTCTCCTGAGTTAACGATTATCAAGAGAGCATTATACGACATTAAAATTGGCAGAGACTTGAGAAATTACAGAGTATAATTCCTTCGTGGGAATTTAATATCTGAGCGAGTAAATGGCTCACCCTAGCCATCTATACATCGAGGAACTTATCTACAACAGGCCCCTGTCTCAGGCACCAGTCCTCCTGTCATTACATTGCTATTCCAAGAAAGGAAAAAAAAAAAAAGCGAAGGCACTAAACAATATAAGGCCATTTTTTAAAGAGCCAGGTTCAAAATGTACAATAGATATTGAGAAATGGGAAGAAAATGTTCAAATGAGAACAGGCACATGGGAGAGGGTAGGGGAAAGGAAGGGACGAGAAAAAGAAAGAAGGAAAAGAAAAGGAAACAAAGCTTTTGTAAATAAGCAGGGGAAGAGGGGTTGAAGGGAGGGGAGCGGAGTGGGAAAACAGAAGAAGGAGACATATCAGGTGAAGGTACAAATTCGCTATGATGAATGTGATCATTATGTATGTAAAATGTACCAAAAAAAAAAAAGGAAAAACAAAAGCCAGGTAAGTGTTAACCATTAGCAGGCACTGTAGCTTCAAAGTTTATTTTAAAATAATTTGAAAGTTACCCTGACGTAAAGATTATTTACAAGTTGGACATTCTGAAGTTAAGTAGAAAAAAGCATATGCAGGGATTAAAAATGTACCGTGAGTTTGCAGAATACTCTTGACAGGAAAACAAGTCTCCCACAAGAGTCGCACCTCTTCATTTTTACTGGTTTGCGCTTAAGGGTGTGTGAAAGAATGTAGTGAAACGAGAGTTACCTGAAACCGTACTATTTGCCTCGTCCTTTCCCACTTACACTAAACGTTATTAGATCAGTTGTCTAATTTAACGCCATTCCCTACCCTAAGTAACGCGCTCCAGCCTGCGGAACCCACAGTCAACGCAAAGACTCCAAGTCCCAAGATGCTCGGTGGCCGGTCTCCACCGCCTGCTCGCAATAGCCGTGTTGCCATCTGGGAGTTGTAGTCATCAGGGGCTTGCACTTCCGGGATGGCAGGCAGAGGAAGAACCACGTGAACTACAACTCCCAGTAGGTCATGCGGGTCTCCCGCCCCGCCGGCGTCGCGCTCCGCCTCCAGCCGCTGCTCCCTCTCCGGGCTACACAGCTCATGCCTTCCTGTTAGTCCGAGCTGGGAGAAGTTCACTCCGATCAGCTGATCCCAACTGACAACAGGAAAGGGGGAAGCCGGCGCGGCGGCGGAGGAGGAGGCGGCGGAGATGGAGATGAGGATGGATTCCCCGGCGCCCTGAGGGTCAGCGCTGGCCCCCACGGGCGCCTCGCGAGCCCCCAGTGCCGCCTGGCGGCGGCGCGCTGTCCGCGGCGGGGGC